ATATAAATATACAAACAGTTCTCACCAATATCATACTCAAAGATAACATAATATATTTTAAGAGTTCTCACCAATTTCTTGCTCAAAGATAACATATATTTCAACAGTTCTCATCAATATCGTGCTCAAAGATAACATATTATATTTCAACAGTTCTCATCAATATCATGCTCAAAGTAAAAAATCACCTGATCGACATCGGAGACTTCAATGATGGAGGTCAGAGTGATGGGGACACCGTTGGGCGTGTTCTCCGCCACAGTAGCGTTGTAGACGGGGCTGTTGAACTCTGGGATGTTGTCGTTCACGTCTGTCACGGTGATGGAAACCAGCTGAGTGTCGCTTCCGAACGAGTTGTCTGCCAAACTTGCCGATGTTGTAGGAGGAGACGATGTGGAGCCGTCGTCGGGGGACACTTCTGTGGCCTGATCAGACAGAAACAGTGGGTGGTTGGCGGGTGCTGTGGTGTGGTGTGCTTCTTCTTCTTTCCTATCAAACATCTATCGTCCTTATCTCCCCTTCTTCAGTGGCGTCGGTAACCTAGTGGTTAGGCTACCAGACTCGTAATCGTGAGATTGCGGGTTCGAGGGCTCGAGCCTCAGCTCGGTCCGACGTTGTGTCCTTGGGAAAGGCACTTTACACGCATTTCCCATTTGGCTCGGTCCTTTCGGAGATGGACGTTAAACTCGGAGGCCATGGCTCTTAAATAACCTAATAGTGTTGATAGGGGCGTTAAACCTATATCATTTCACCATTTTATTTTTTCTCCCCTTCTTCTTTTTTTGTTTGTTTGTTACTCTCTTTAACACCTCTAATCTTCTGGCGCTCATATGATGACCTTATGCAGTTGCGAGCGTCTTAAAACCTCTACTAAAACTAAAACTAAAACAAGACGGACACAGATCGGCAGGGTTATGCTCCAACCGTCTGATGTGACGTGTTGTATTATTGACCAGTTTTTGTTTTTCTCTTCATTTTGATATTTTTAAAATGAAAGTAATACACAATCTAAATTTCATATGTATCTATAAATGTACACGAGTGTTTTTCCATTCCTGTAAAACCAAGAAACATATTTAGGGACTATAGAGCATTAATTATTATCTTGTCTCATCTTCTCCTGACTGGAAGAAATAGGTCAATTTGGTTATTTTTGGTTCTAAGACCAGTAGCGATGTTTTGTGGATCCTCAATAAAACACTTTCTTGATCAGGACAAGGAAGGCCATTAGTTATAACTTTTTAATTAAATTGTGAAATAAACGCTCTTGAAATTATTTCAAGAAACCAGCACCAGGGTTAGAGTACAACACCATCGATAGGACAGACAATATTATGCCAAAATGAAACTTATTAACATCCTAATAAATTATTCTGTGGTCATAATTCACACACTAGAGACAATCGGGTCATGTCAATGCTGAAGATTAGAGGTGTTACAAGAGAGTGACAAATACAAAAAACAGGGAGCAGAGATAAGCACGATACATGTCTGATAGGAAAAAAGGAGCAAACCACACCTAGAGCAACTGTCAAACAATAGACCTCAGGTAAATAGAACACTTGGCTTGTGGACTTGACTTATTGCGACATTTAGAATAAACAGTCACCAGGTAAAAAGAAAACTTGACTTACTGTAATTATATTATTGAAAAAACAATGCTCAGGTAGACAGAAGACTTACCGTGACGTTAAAAATAAACAGCCCTCCCTGGTTCCTCACTTCCTCATCATCCACGTCCAGCTGTGATGCCACGCTAATGACCCCTGTCGTGGTGTTGATGCTAAAATTGGAGTGAGAACCTGAAATCAAAGTAGATTTTGTTTTTTAAAGTCTGAGCTCAGAGGTGCTGATTGAAATTGGCTACGAAAAGAAATCTTGGACTACATGTGTTTGGATCTTGTAGAAAAACTTTCACGGAACTCAAAATTTACAAATCATTTATTTGTCTAACACGTCTTGTTTCAAGAAGATTGATTTAAGATAAATGACAACGACTTCTTAATGATTAATCTGAAGTTGGGCAAAATATGTGCAATTTTAGGAATTCGTATTTCCGAATGTGTCCAGAAATTCGGCACCTCTGTGGGTTGGAGTTGACAGAGGCACTTTGGCATGACAACCGCCAATAAATGATGGAAAAACCCCCCAACCCCAAATAAAAAAACCCAAGACAGACAGAAACATGGGCGTAACAGTGCCCCCCCCCCCTCCAACAAATCAAAAGCAAAACTAACAAAGCAGGAATTTGGAAAAACTTTTATCTTAAAAACTTGCTTGCACCTTTTGCTCTCACAGGTAGTTGACAGAATTGTAAGTGAAAAGAGAGACTTGAAATGTATACAGTACTGGGCACATTTTTAATTAATGAACTACATTGGGGTAAATGGTATTTTACGTTTTACAGATGGAATCTGCTAGCATTCCCGTTATCTTTTAAAGAAAAGAGTAAGCAACAAAAAAAAAAAAAAAAAAAAAAAAACCAACCCAAAAACTTACGCAGTTGAGACTGTCTCGTTTACAAAATTATTCTAAAGAAAGACAGAAAGTACATAAAACCCCAAAAGGAAAAAAATCATAATGCTTTTTTTAGCACCCCCAAATTCATTGGGAATGTAACTGTTTATAAATTGTACTTTTTGCCAAATACAAAATTATGGATACGTGGATACAATAATAATATACATAATCATCTTCTTTAAACAATACTTGAACACAAAAATATTTTTTCAAATACTGAAACTAAATGATAATAGTCTCTGATAACAAATCGACTATTATAATATATTGATATAGAATTTGATGTAAATTCATTTTCTGTTGAAGTAAAATTAATAATTTGTCACTTCTCCCGCATCAACGTCAAATTGGGCAGGAACTTACCGTCAGTGAAGGAATACTCGATGGCATTCGGCACCGTTGCTCCTCTGTCTCCATCCACTGCGGTTACTTGGAGAACTGAATATCCCTAGAAGAGAGAAAGGAAAGCTTGGAGTGACATTTATAGAGAAACATTTGTGTGGCGTGCAGACAAAATGAGTTTCTTCTCGCAATCCACAAATGGGGTTATTGACAAAAAATCAACACCGAGGTCAAATTAGTTGATCTTCTATTGGTGCTCTATTTTTTATGTATAACATGCCTCTTATTATTTCATACTTATAAATTGTAAAACTTCTCTTAAAAGTATGATGTTTCTATTTCCATAAGGCTTGAATCCGAGAAGTAACTCATTTTGTCATCACACTTCACATAGATGAACTCTTTCTGGCCCAGGTTTGTGTTCAGTCAGACTTTTGCCCGCATTAATTTATCTTTACCAAATTGGTCATTGTCACGATTTACCCCCCCCCCCCCTTTCTTCCTCCGAGTAGACAAAATGAAATGAAGGAAAGCCAAACGTAGAAGAAATATTGCAACAGCTTCCCTTGATTGTTTCAGAAATTGCTTTTTAGTACAACCACCTACCCCCCCCCCTTAATTACGCTACCTTAGAATTATAAAGTTTTACCTAGCTGATATTTTGGGTCTTTTTGAGTTAATGTGACCATGAGGTCAAGTACCTAATGTGTCACAACGTGGTGGAATCAGGTCCTCGTAAATTTTTGGGCATATTGGGATATTGGTATTACCTTAAAGGTTTTTCATTTGCCTTGCTTTTGATGGAAAAAATATCCTTTTATCCTCAATAGAAGTCGTGAGAAAAGGACCGCCAAAGTTTGGTGAATTCCAAGGCTTAAGAGTCCTTGGAAACTGCAAAAAATTTACATTGTGTGTGTATGTGTGTGTGTGTGTGTGTGTTTGTGTGTGCGCGTGTGTGTGCATTTAATCAACTTTGTTCCATAAAATCCTCACATAAAAGTGTCTTTGAATGGACATGCAAGGTGTTGAGCCTAAAAAAAAATAATAAAAAAATATTCGAACAAAATTTCCAAACTTGGCGAAAAATGTCGATTTCTCGGATTTCATTATTTTGACTAGTGCCTGATTTCACCACGATGCCTCACAAAATGTTCTATCTGCTCTATCAAAGTCGGTAAGATGATTCGGAGTATTTACAAATATATTCAAAGACTTGTATTCTAGAAAAAGCTTGACATGTTTTGAAACTAACATATGTTAATGTCAAATTTCATTTCTCAGAACTAAATACTGAGCAGATAGAACTTTGTAATTCTGGGGTAGCAATTAGGCGAAGTAAAATAAAAAACAAACAACAAACAACAACTTAAATAAATTAAAAAGTGGATCTTACCACAGGTGCATCCTCGGACATAGAACTGATGAAGGGCTACCAACCGAGCAGACAACATTAAATGAAGAAAAGCCAAACGGAAAAGAAAATATTGCAAACGTTTCCCTTGCTTGATCGTTTCAGAAACATTTTTCCTATCTAGTACTGAAAACCAGTTTTAGGCACAGCTGAAAAAAAACCAAACACTTAAAACAACCCACCACTATCTTTCAGTGAATCTTACAACGGGCGCATCCTCAGACACAGATCTGATGTAGAGCGACTGAGCAGACAAAATTATTAAATGAAGAAAATCCAAACGTAAAAGGAAATATTGCAACTGTTTCCCTTGCTTGATCGTAACTGAAATATTTTTCCTATCTAGCAGTGAAAACCAGTTTTAGGCACAGCTG